AAAAAAAAAAAAGAAAAGAATCAAATGTTACCTTTAGGAGGGCTCTTCCTTGACTAATCTTAAAACGGCAACCCACCCTATCCACATCCCTCTAGTGCTCTCAGAAGTTAACCTGTTTGTTTGTTATCCCCAGCCAGGCTGTAGCGGGCACCTAGCCTGCTCTGTTCCCACCGTACTCCCAGCACCTACGGCAGCTCACGGCTGTAAATGTGCGCTGAGTGAGTACAGACTGGGTGTACCAATTGCATCCTTTGACTAGATCTCAGATGGTCATTGCCAGGTTCGTCCCTGATATTTTTGTGGTCACATCTTGTACTGCAGCTAACTGTCGTGTCTTGAACCCTCCCTACTCTCCTGCTCCCTTTCTCTGTTCAGAGTGTCCCGTCCCAGCCTATCCAAATTCTCTCCTTCTCCCAAAGTTCATTCTGAAATGTGCACACAGGACGCGTACCCTGCTCGGCTCATGTAGGGTGTGCTCCCTCCTGCCACCCTGTACAAGCCCAGGGTCTGCGGGGATGGTGTGGACACCCTGAGGATGGAAGGTCTGTCCGTCTCTCTCATGTCTGTGCACCTGCACTGCCCTAACCCCACTCTGGGGGCTGCTGGGAAGTGTTCGCGGCACCATGTCATCCGTTGTCCCTCATCAGCATCTCTGCCAGATGTCAGCACCTCCCCGTTTCTGAGCAGTGCTCCCGTGGTGTAAAGAGGCAGAGCGCTTACTTCTGGCTTCCAATGTCTCATCCTCCCCTAGCACTGTCCCCAGGAAGGTCCCCTGGTCCTCTGATGCTGACAGTGACAGGAGGAGACAGGAATCAGGAAGGCCTGATCTTGGCTGACCTCATTACCTGGTAGCCCTGGGAATTGTTCTGAATCCCAAACTGTGGCACGCCGGGGTCTGCACACATGGTCAGTGTTGGATCTGGATGGTCAAAACAAAGACACAGACCACGGGTCACCGGAGCTGCCACTCTGAGAAACGGGCAGGACAGGAGGCAGGGCCCAACTTCCTTCCCTTTTGAGATCTCCACCCGAATCCCAGCCCCAGCTGACTGTTTGATTCCCCAGAACATGTTAGCTCTGGCTATTTTGTGTCCTACTTTAAGGAGCTCAGAGGAGAAGGATTTATTTCCTTGAGACCTCTGAAGCCAGGGAAGGACAGTCATCATCTCACGCCCTAAGAAGGCTGCCCTCCATGCCGGGACACTCGGTACCACAGGTCACCTCTCACCTATGCAGCTGGGCTGAGTGCCGCTCCACGTCCCATCTGACTGGCAAAACCTGCGTGGAGAGCCCACCAGCACCAGAGGGGGGTGGCAGGAGTAGGAGACGGACGACCTGTAAGAGAAGCCTCGATCCTCTCTCCTCCCGCGGGGCGGGACACCAGGATCTCCACAAAACACCGCTGGGAAGACAGGGAGAAAGACAGGCCCAGGTTGCTTTCTGGACCAAAGTCTACCTCTCCCGCACAGCCTCCCTTTATTCGCTGTATTGTTTCCTTCCTGGTTTTGCTTGAACTCTGGGAACGGGCAGCCCCCGGCACATGCTGTACCTGCCTCAGTGCTGGGGCCGGTGTCTGTATCCCCAGTGCTCGTTAATGAATCATCATCATGGGAAGTTGAGGATACTCAGGGAAAAGAACCCCAATTACATCTCTCTGTTCAAAGCTGTTCCATTTTCACACACATTCTTTCCTAGTCTTTGCTCAGTTGTGTGCAAACTTTCACAGAGCTGAGAAACCAAAGTCCGTGTGACTGAATCTTGCCTCATTCACTTCATACTGTCCTGGAAGCATCTTCTCCGTTTATGACATCACTGTCACTTATTGGCTACATGATTTTGCAACACGATGGTTGGTTGTATCATAATTACCTTTTATCATAACTATTGTATTAAAATACATTCTGATATAAAATTACATATGACTTTTCTTTCAAACGTGTTATCTTTTTAGGAGAACTTTCTAGAAGTGGACTTATTTTTAAAGGGTTGAACATGTTTGCAGCTGTTAATGTAGATTGTTAAATTTCTTCCTCCAAAGGATGCACATTGACGCTGTGGTGGGGAGCACATGGGTGTCCCCTTTTTGTTCAGGGCATGTTAACATCAGAGGGTATCATTAAAAATTAACCAGCAAAGACAAAGCTCCCATATGCTATGATGTGAGCGTGTGTGTTTGTGCAC